GGCTACCAGGGGATGGGAAAGATTTGTTCCTGTTCCCTTGCACTGAGGATGTTCCCACCAGGCCTGGTGCTGCTGCCGACTTCCCAGGCTGCTCCCTGGAAAAGTGTCTTTGAGCTGAAGCCTCTAAATGCTGGATGCTATTAAAAAAACCCCCCAAAAACAACCAAAGGAAATTAAACAAAAAAAGCCTGAGAAACATCTGACTGTCCCCCAGCTGGGCTAATGCTTTTTTTTTCAATTGCACAGATGCTGGGAGGTGATTTTTGGGGTGCCTGACACCCTGGGGTGGGACAGGATCTGGCAGCCAAGTCCCTTCCCCTTGCTTCCTCTCCCCGAAGCCTGCATATGGCTCTGTTTTGAGCAGCCTCAAGCCTTTTAGACAGCACATAGGGGAGAATCACCACTTGGGATGTTGTCACCACCATCCTAAAGGACGTGGCCATCCCTGGCCTCCAGAGCTGGGGTGGGACCATCACCGGTGTGTGCCCGATCCAGCCCCGGCAGTGTTCCGGCGGGCAGGATGCAGGCGATGGGCGCTTGGGGCCTCGTCGGCCGGCGCCTCGCCAGGCGGGGCTGCGGCCGAGCTATTGTTTTCCCTTCCTGCTTGTTTTTCCGGACAACCCTCTCCTAATTAAATAAAAATACCCATCAGAGAAGTGAGCAAACCACCCCCCCTCCCCGGCACGGTCCCGTGCCACGGGAGGGCAAAGCACCCATGGGAGAGGTAGATGACAGGCAAGTGGAGCAGTGAACACAGGCAATAGGTGAGCAAAGAGTGTGCTGGGATGTGTTTTACCCCAGTGCCAGGTTTTCATGCATAGCCATGGTCTAAAAATGGGTGGTTTTGGCGATGTGTGTACAGTCCAGGCAGTGCTGCTGGTTCTGGGGCAGCTTTATCCTGGTGCATCCTGGTTTTGGGAGCCATGGGAAGATGCAAGCATCACATCATCCTTAAAAAAACCCCAACTATATGAGCTCAAAACTACAGAGGAAAAGCTTAAGGTTTCATCCAAGGGTCCTTGGAAAGCAGAGGGCAAATTGTAGGGGGCTGAGGATTAAAACTAGAAGCACAGGATGTCTTTGGGATTTCTTATGATACACCTTTGCATCATTTGTATTAATCTGTAAAAATAAAGTTTTTAACATTCTTTCTTTAGCAAAAGTCAAGTTTTGGCATTAAATAGTTTCAGCCAAGCTCTTTCACCCTGAAATACACCAGTGTTCAAACTGAGAATAGGACATGGGGTTTTTTTTGAGGAGCAAGTGCTAACATCAGATTCAGCTACTTATTAAAGCAGTTTTCCTTAATGCAATCTAATACTGAAGGTCAAGGGTAAATGGTGGTTGCAAATGATAGGGAAAAGCAGATTGCTGTTTTTCATCGGAGTTTTGAGGGTGAAAAATTTTAAGTAAATCCCCAAATTTTGTGCTGACTGGAAACTCGTTTGTGGGTAGCTGGTCTAACCGCTCTGCCTGGCGTGAACTGGGGGCTTGTGGTCACCTAAATGTGCTTTTTATTCCCCCAAAACCCTGTCCTTGATGCTCCAGTGATGAGGTCAGTAGACATGGCTTTAAATGCGTAAATAGCAGGGATCGTGAATGTCAGAGATGGTTTTCGGGGGGGCTGCAGATTTGAGTATTTATATATATCCAGGGTGTCCTGACCTGCTGGTCCCTCAGGGGGTTTTAGTGCTGCAGGAGCATCTAGGGATCTGACTCTTAATACCTGCTAAGATTGTCCCCACCCCTGGAGGGGTTGAAGAGTCGGGCTGACCCAGCGCTGAGGGATCTGGGGGAATTGGGAACGGTCAGGCTGAGGTTCATGGTTGGGCTGGAGGAGCTTCAAGGGCTTTTCCAACCAGAGTGATTCTGTGATAAGTAGCGTTTTATCTTAGCACAGTGTTTTAACTCCAGCAGCAGCCTCCTTTCAAGTGTGGTGATGGGGTGTTGGTGTGGCTGTTTAGGGAAACTGAGTCACACAGGGGGATGTGGGTGGAAAGGGAATGGGGCTGTGCTCAGGCTCCATCTCCTACAGCAGGATTTTTGGTGGCTTTGCTGGAGCGAGACTGCCCCAGTCCAGTGAGCATCACCATCTCCTTCAGCCACTGTTCCTATATCCTATATATTCCTTGAACCCTCTGCCATCGGAGCTCAGCCGACCCACATCCCTCGGACCCCTCACTCCAAGCATCCTCCCTGTCCTCCAGCCGCCCTCGCGTCCTGCTGGCCCTTTTGGATGGAGCTTTGGCAGCGCTGCTTGAAAATGCTCTTAAAATAGAGCCGGAGGGCAGTGTCAGGGCAGGGAAGGCTGTCTGGAGGCACCGCCATCCCCTCGGGGTGGGGACTTCTCGGCCGCGCTGCTTTCGAATAATTTCTGCAGGTTTTTTTTTTTTTTTCCATGCCGATGATGCCAGGGCTCTGCCTAGAGGTCAGCGGTGCATGGTGGGGACTGGCGGTTTTAGGGTTCACTTTGGTTTTGATGCACCCAGCAAGCACCCCAAGTGCAGACTGGGGATGGAGATTGGATGGGTGACCTGCTCCTGCAGGGCCGTGTTGGGCTGCTCGTGGAACTAAACTGACACAGAGCCGAGATGGAAAAGGGCAAAGCTGTGATTATTATTTTTTAATATCTTAAAAAATATTTTTTAAAAATGTTTGGGCTTTTTTGTTGTATATATATATATGTTCAAAATATTTGTGTTTTCCCAGTGGAGTGGTAATGGATTTAACTCTCCCATTAATCCTGATCAGTTGGGCTTCTTCACTCTGGTGGAGTTAGAGGGACGGGAGCTGCCGGAGGGGTATTATGGGGCCAAGTTGGGGTCTTTCTTGGGATCTCACCCTGGCAGGCACCTCTTGTCTTAGCTGGGGCTCCAGCTCTGGGCAAGCTCAGAAAAAGCATCTGATAGCAATAAAGAGCAAAAACCTCCCGCTGACAAGCCCGGGCTGAAGTCACTGACGGGACGCGGCCAAGACACGCATTGTCCTCACTGCTGCTGGGACTGATTAGAGCTGCCTGGCAAGCCTTGGTGCTGGGTGAGGGGTCAGCCCCTTTTGCCAAAAAACCTCGATCCAGAGCAAAAAAAACAGCTTTTGTTTTCCAGGCTGGGCTGTGTGGAGGCAGTGCTGCCTGGTGGACCCAGTTCCCCCCTGTTTTGCACCCATTTCTCCACGATTGTGGCTCTGCCGAGCTTGGGGCATGCTATATTGGGAGCAAGGTGAGATGGATCCCAGGAGGAAAAACCTGAATTCAGTTTTTCCGTAGTGAAAGCGAATCAGGAGAGTCCCTGGCAAACAGCAAACCGCTCTGCTGAAAGCTTGCTGTCTCTTCAGTGTTCAATATTTATTATATCATTATTTATTTTCTGTGTGCTTGGGGGGGGGGGGC